TCAAGTGTGAGGTGATTGTCCCTTGACTAAAACGGGGTAGTATTATGATTAAAATCCCCTACAGCTGGAAGGGTAGGGCGCACCTGAATAAGTTATCGGTGACGGTGGGAATAGTCGATGTCGTCGCGGGAGAGAGGGTGTCGAGGGCTGGAGGTGCCGTCAGCCTATATAATATTTTCTACACACGTCGCCGCGCACGGCACACCTACTGAGGTCGACCGGGCCAATCCTAAGGAAACCACCACATCAGCGACGCGACGCGCGAGAACTGTGCTGAATCAATGCATACCCCAGAATTCCGTCCACTAAAAACTAAAACTTCAACCCAGTCAATTTAAATCGCAGCGCGGGCAGACGTACCACCCTCGAACCCGTCGGAGCTCGTCGCGACGCCGATGGACTGGCTGGGGATGACGAGCCCCGGCGCGATGGTGACCTGGTCGAGGAACTCGTTGCCTATCCAAGTCATCCAGTGATACGCCACGGTTGATGTCGCAGTGCACTCTACCCTGGCGTAAGCGGGTTAACGCAGATCCCAGATGACGAGTAAAGTTTAAATGCGCACTTCAAAGTCCCCCGAGCCGTAGGTGACGGCCTGGTAAATGTATGTTTGGGCGCAATTTAATTATGATGAGAGAGCACCGGGCATACCACGCGCTGGTTTGTGGCGACGCTATAGCAGACAGATGAGAACGGGTCCGCATGATTTGATACGCGGTACCGACCTCGTCGACGTCCTCACGTATGCTTGAGTCGCCCCGACCCATGTATTCGAGCTTCCAGTGTCAACGAGGAGCTGGACTGTCGAGGACGAGGATCAGCACACGCCCGATAATTACTGGGAGACTTTACATGTCGTAGCGGGAGACCCGACTCCGACCGCAGCCTAATTATCGCGAAGAAAGGAATGATTTTAGTGCGGATTTTCGTCCCATGGGAGGAAGGAAATACTGACCACATAGGTCACAGCCTGGTTGTCGACGGGCTCGTTCACTATCGCCCGTCCCGAGAGCCGGGCTTCCGCGCGGGCGCGCAGGTGTTTCGCGCGGGCCAGGTCGCGTTCCAATATCGTGCTCGTCCCGGTGAAGTTTACACGCTTGGAGATCGGGAGGGTGACAAAGGAGTCGATGACGACCGGCTTTGCTACGGCTGTCAGGGCTAGCAGGATTGTCGAGAGCAGAGAAGAGCAGTGCATTTTACTAGTAGCGGGTGTGCAGGGGTACTTAGGCGAAGGGAGGGTCGTATATATATTAACCCCACTCCATCGAGTGAGAATGGGCTGCGGAGCGAGGGAGGCGAGAGGCGCACGGGGTGCTAGCAAGGATATAAAAATGCCGGGATTATCCGACACCATGAAATTGAACGCATTACCGCGGTGGATCCTGGCGCAATGGGAGAACATACGAGGAGATTGGTCCCACGCGCACCTTGATTAGGATGAATGTTACCCACGAAAAGCAATCACCGTCGTCATATGGTACGCTATTTAGCCCAAAATATAGATTTCGCTCGAAGACTGTCGGTATTTATTGAGGTGTTTTGAAGCGGGGTGGGAAGCCACGACAGTTTCCACCGCAACCGCCGAGACTACAGCACCCCAGCCAATTTCCGAGTCCCGGAGCCCGAGAAAAAACTTCTTGCGCATACGAACCAATAATCCGCCCATCGCACGTCATGGGCATTTTGAGTATTTTTGCGCATTGCACCTCGCGGAAGTGGCTTCGCGTCCCAGTTGCGTGCGAATTCTTTAGAAGCGGGAGATCTGCATTAGTCCCGCGCGATATCGTTGGGGTTTTTATTTATTTATTCTTACTGTTATGTCGACTCGAGTATTCCGCCCAGAATCACCTTCTCCGTGGGAATTTAATAGTAGAACGACCATCAGGACACCGCAACACAATAACCATCGACGCCTTTTTCAACCACACACACGTGACCCGTGGTTGGATTCCACTATTGGCTTCCTTATGGTTGGTTATGGATTGGTAAAGTAGTATGTTCTCGTCATGAGATTCGACGCAGTGGTGAAATTACATGGAGCATGTACCAGGGAGGTGCGGCTGAGGCTGGCCTGAGGTGTGATTTTGCCGGCGGGGAGGGGAGATGGGTGGTAACGGCAGGAGTTCAAGGTTTGGTGGGGTAGTAGGTCATGATGTACTTGAAATGCCCTGGGATGTGGTGGATTTCGTCCAACGGTACACTTGAAATAGTCAACTGAAATTTCAAACAAAACCGCGATCTTTCGGCACTGACACGGTATATTCCGCTCCATGCCGTGTATTCTAGTACATATATGAATTTAATTTCGGACCGCCCATCTTCATAGAGTTCCAATTGTGTGTGTGTGTGTTAAACAGCAAGTTGTGGCGATTGCGGTATCTGGCAGCGAGAAGCAAACGTGGTATGTACCTGTCGAGAAAAAAAGATGCATCTCTAAGCAGAACGCAAACGCAAAGCATTGATGTGCAGGACCCCAAACTGACAATTGAGTGGGTAGGGATAAAGCTCGATTGTTCGCGGTGATCTGATTCCCGACGGCCCCGAGTTCATTCTAACTATAGTTCCGGGGGTTAGATTTCAGCGGCGGTGATAAGTTCGATTAATCATCGCAGCCAAGTACAAAGTAATCATGGCATCAGGCAAGACGAATCCTGATTCCTGATAGATATATCAGCGACATCGATCCTATCGCGCGCGCAGAGGCTATTTTGACCAAGGTGTTTTGGAGGACTAGAGTCGGTATGTCGCGTGTGTAGAGGAACATCTTTTCAATGCACATACGACCCAATAATCCAGTCATCGCACGTCATGGGTATTTTTACGGTTGCGGGCGTGCTATTTGCGGGTGGGAGATACTCATCAGTCCCGAGTATTTTCCGGTATTCCGCGATAGAGGATCCGCTGTGTGTTTCCTTGCCGACTTGGAGTCAGTAAATGTATATTTCGTCCAGAAACCCTGAATCACCTTCCCGTGGGCTGTTTAAACACTATTCAGATCCGTGCACGGCCATCGTGGCAGATTAGAAGCGGCAACGCCGGTGGAGGGCACTTGCCGCAGCAACCGCGAAATAGGAAGTGGAGACACCGGGTCTCCGGGCTCTCAGTAATAAGATATATGTTTTCTATGACATGCATTCAATTTCTGTGATCTCGTGATTCAAGCAGGGAGACCGTTCGATTCGGGCCTGAGATCGGTATTGACCTCCGTGTTTTTTCTTGCCTAGTTGGCAAGAGCTTTGTGATTTATTGAGGGAAGCTAAGAGGTAAGCAAGGCTCAGTGGTGGGTGGCCCATATCTATCCTCCATAATCGGAGTCTGCCTGTGCAGGCAGAAGTCGCCCGTTCGATTCGGGGCTGAGCTGTTCCGCTTTGGCGCATAATCTTTTTCTTCTTTCTCTTCTATTTTTGCAGCGCGTGACCCTCACAAAATGTCGGGGATGTAGAGGCTACTCGGTGGTGGGTGGTCCACATCTGCATTCGATTGCTTGGATCTGGTGGTTGAGGCAGGGGAGCCCGCTCGGTTCGGGGCTGAGCCGTGGACCGATGGGAGACCTTTCTCTCTTTCTTTGTTTCAGCCCTGAATATAGAGGCTAAAATTCTGAAGAAGAGGGAGATGAAGTCTCGGTGGTGGGTGTTCCACATCTGCATTCTATTATTTGGGAGTACTTGATCAAGCAGTTCAGCCCGTTCGATTCGGGCCTGAGTCGTAATTTCAGCGGTTCAAGTTCTTCTTTCTGTGTGCTACCTGACATAAAAATTCTGGGATATTGAGGTCTGAACAGGGATAAAGGAGGCTCGGTGGTGGGTGGTCCACATCTGCATTAGATAGGCGGATATGATGTTTAAGCAGAGGAGCCCGTTCAATTCGGGGCTGAGCCGTAAATGTCTCTTTTTTTTCTGTGCTGAGTGAGCCTCTCAAAAAATACTGGGCTATTGTGGGTAGCTACGAGGTAAGGAAGGCTCAGTAGTGGGTGGTCCACATCTGCATTCGATTATTTGTGAGTCCTTGGTCAAGCAGATCAACCCGTTCGATTCGGGGCTGAGCCATACGGCTGTAACATTGTTTTTTGTGCCGAGCCTCACAAAAATGCTAGGTTATAAGGAAGGCTCGGTGGTGGGTGGTCCAAATTTGCATTCGATACCAGTGTTTCTTATTGAGAACATTTACTGCAGAGGGCCCCGTTCGAATCGGGGCTGAGCCGTGAACGGTGAATAGGTACCATACTGTTTTGCAATTGACGGAAGCTCACTTAATGTCCTATTTATCAAGGGTACAGTGAGCGAAAGGAAGGCTCGGTGGTGGGTGGTCCGCATCTGCATTTCATGATGACGAAGGGATGTGGTTGTTTAGCAGAGAAGCCCGTTTGACTGGGGGCTGAGCCATGCCGTGGATAAAGGATCCTTTTTCTTCTGTGGGGAGCAACACTGCTAAAAAGGCTAGGTTATTGAAGGCAGAGACAGGGAAGGAAGGCTCGGTGGTGGGTAGCCCACATCTGTCCTCCATAATCGGACTCCACCTGTGCAGGCAGAAGTTGCTTGTTCGATTCGGGCCCGAGCCATAGATAGGTTTCGATAATATCACTTTTTCTGTGCTACTTGGCAAGAACATTGTGGGTTATGGGTTATTGAGGGTAGAAAGGGGGTAAGGCTCGGTGGTGGGTGGTCCACATCTGCATTCAATGCAGTGATAGGAGTGATGGATTAAGCAGAGAAGCCCGTTCGATTCGGGGCTGAGCCATGTCGTTGCGAGTTAGGGCCGTTTTTTTCTTTTTCTTTTTTTGGGCAGCTCTGGGATATAGAGGCGAACGATGGGGAAAGGAAGGCTCGATGGTGGGTGGTCCACATCTGCATTCAATACGCTAGAATGACATGGTTTAAGCAGGGAGCCCATTCGATTCGGGGTTGAGCCATGAATAGAATGTGGTTCAATATGTTTTTCTTTTTACACCCAGCGATGCTCCAAAAAATGCTGTGTCATTATGGGTGGAAAGAGGTAAGGAAGGCTCGGTGGTGGGTGGCCCACATCTGCATTTGATACCCCAGTTCCCAAACATTTAGAGCAGAGGAGCCCGTTCGATTCGGGCCTGAGCCGTGACAGTCGTAACACCTGTTCTTTGCTTCCTTTTTCTCGCAGCTCTAGGATGGTATAAAGGCTATGAAGGGGATAAGTAAGGCTCAGTGAGTGGCCCATATCTGCATCCAATAGCAACACTTGATCATTGAAGCAGAGGAGCCCGTTCGATTCGGGGCTGAGCCATATGTGCTGAATCTCCTTTTTCTGTGTGCTACCTGACACAAAATGCTGGGTTATTAAAGATAGCTAGCAGATAAGGAAAGCTAGGCGGTGGGTGGTCCATATCTGCATTCTATTGCGTATCTGCATAAATTTCCAGCAGAGCAGCCCGTTCGATTCGGGGCTGAGCCATAAAATTGCGCCATTGTTTTTTGCACCGAGTGAGGCTCACGAGAAATGCTAGTTTATTAAGGGCAGAAAGAGGTAAGCAAGGCTCGGTGGTGGGTGGTCCACATCTGCATTTGATTATTTGGATCTCTGATGGTTTAAGCAGAGGAGCCTGTTCGATTCGGGGCTGAGCCATATAACTGCGCCATTGTTTTGTATACCGAGCCTCACAAAAATGCTGGGCTATTGTGGGTAGAAAGAGGGAAGGAAGGCTCGGTGGTGGGTGGCCCACATCTGCATTTGATGATCAAGGAATTGGTGGATTAAGCAGGGGAGCCCGTTCGATTCGGGGCTGAGCCATGTCGTTGCGAGTTAGGGTCGTTTTTTTCTTTTTCTTTTCTTGGACAGCTCTGGGATATAGAGGCGAACAATAGGGCAAGGAAGGCTCGGTGGTGGGTCGTCCACAGTTGCATTCGATGAAGGTCTTTGATGTTTTCAGCAGAGAAGCCCGTTCGACTCGAGGCTGAGCCATATGGAGTTCGATGTGGTATCTTTTTCTTTCTTTCTCTTCTTTTGCGCAGAGGTGCACAATGTCCCATTTATCAAGGGTAGAGAGTGAAATGAAGGCTCAGTGGTGGGTGGTCCACATCTGTCCTCCACAAACGGAGTCCGTGTTGCCGGCAGAAGTTGCTCGTTCGATTCGGGGCTGAGCCATGTGCCTTGATTGTTGGCTTTTGTCACCGACTCCGGGGCCGGGTGACCGAGTGAAGCCGGCAAAGTGTCCCAGTTGCTAAGGGTAGAAAGAGGATAAGGAGGGCTCGGTGGTGGGTGGTCCACGTCTGCATTCCATTGTCTAGCTGTGACTGTGATTTCTCTGCAGAGAAGCCTGTTCGATTCGGGACTGAGCCGTGTGAATGTTGATTTTTCTTTTATGCCGAGCCTCACGAAAATTCTGGGCTATTGTGGGTTGAACAGGGGTAAGGAAGGCTCGGTGGTGGGTGGTCCACATCTACGTTCCATGATGCATGAGCAGTTCTCTGAGAATATTTACTGCAGAGGACCCCGTTCGATTCGGGGCTGAGCCATGGCTTTCCTTTATCTCCTTTTTTGCACCAATCGAAGCTCGCAAAATGGCTCAGCTATTATGGGTAGAAAGAGGTTAAGGAAGGCTCGGTGGTGGGTGGTCCACATTTGTGTTCTGTGGGTGAAGAATGCGACGATAAAACCAGGGGAGCCCGTTCGATTCGGGCCCGAGTCATAGTCAGGATATTCATGGTTTTTCTTTCTCTTCTCTTTTTTGCACCTAGTGATGCTCCGAAAAATGCTGGGTTATTGAGGGTAGAAAGCAGGAAGGAAGGCTCGGTCGTGGGTGGCCCACTGCATTCAATTATTTGGGATCTTGTGGTTGAAGCAGAGCAGCCCGTTCGATTCGGGCCTGAGCCATGCCGTTGATAGACACTTCTTTTTCTTCTGTGGGGAGCAACACTGCCAAAAATGCTGGGTTATTGTGGGTAGAAAGGGAGTAAGGGAGGCTCGGTGGTGGGTGGCCCACATCTGCATTTGATGAGGAGCCCGTTCGATTCGGGGCTGAGCCGTATGAATCTTGATTTGTTTTTATGCCGAGCCTCACGAAAATTCTGGGTTATTACAGGAAGAATGAGAGTAAGGAAGGCTCGGTGGTGGGTGGCCCACATCTGCATTCGATGAGGGTCCGGGATGTTGCAAGCAGAGGAGCCCGTTCGATTCGGGGCTGACCCATGTCGTTGCGAGTTAGCGCCGTTTTCTCTTTTTCTTTTTCTTGGGCAGCTCTGGGATATAGAGGCGAACAATAGGGCAAGGAAGGCTCGGTGGTGGGTGGTCTACATCTGCATTCGATAAGTTTCTTGTTGAGAACATTTACTGCGGAGGACGCCGTTCGATTCGGGGCTGAGCCGTGAACGGTGAATAGGTACTATACTGTTTTGCAATTAACGGAAGCTCACTAAATGTCCTATTTATCAAGGGTACAGTGAGCGAAAGGAAGGCTCAGTGGTGGGTGGCCTACATCTGTATTCAATAAAAAAGAATCTCTAGTGGTTTAAGCAGAGGAGCCCGTTCGATTCGGGGCTGAGCCATATGAATGTTGATTTGTTTTTATGCCGAGCCTCACAAAAATGCTAAATTAGCGAGGGCAGGAAGAGGGAAGGAAGGCTCGGTGGTGGGTGGACCACATCTGCATTCGATTATTGGGGCCCTGTGGTTGAAGCAGAGGAGCCTGTTCGATTCGGGCCTGAGCCGTGACACAGTCGTAATGCCTGTTTTGTTGCTTCCTTTTTCTTGCAGCTCTGGGATATAAAGGCTACGAAGGGATAAGTAAGGCTCAGTGGATGGCCCGTATCTGCATTCAATAGCAACACTTGCTCATTTCAGCAGAGGAGCCCGTTCGATTCGGGGCTGAGCCATATCCGCTGAACCTCCTTTTTCTGTGCGCTACCTGACACAAAATGCTGGGTTATCGAGGGCAGGAAGAGGGAAGGAAGGCTCGGTGGTGGGTGGTCCATATCTGCATTCTATTGCGTGTCTGCATAAATTTCCAGCAGAGCAGCCCGTTCGGCTCGGGGCTAAGCCATAAGATTGCGCCATTGTTTTTTGTGCCGAGTGAGGCTCACAAAATGCTCGGTTCTTGAGGTTTGAACGAGAGTTAGCAAGGCTCGGTGGTGGGTGGTCCACGCCTGCATTCGATGGCAATTTGGTGATGTCTTCAGCAGAGGAGCCCGTTCGATTCGGGGCTGAGCCATAGGGCAGTTGAACATCTTTTTGGTGTCTGTGTTATTACCTGCAAGAAAGTACGGATACAATGGGATATAACGCCTAGCCATTGGAGAGAAACTCGGGTCCTGTCCTCCGCTGCGTTCCCTGGCCTCGTCGAAATTAAATCTATCAAGTCGAGACCCCGCCGAATTGTGTGTGAAGCATCTGTCAAAAACGCGAAACGCAAAACAGTGATGTGCAGTTGGTGGGTAGGAAAGGAAGTGATATAGCGGATAGGAACTTGTTCGAGGGCGGTCATTTGTGTTTTCAGCCTGACCCGTCAGTGATTTGAAGTCTCTTGATTGTACTCGGGCCTGGGGGTTCGATTTCTGCTGTGATTGTTTCAAATCACGCATTTGGCATGGCGGCGAGGTACCAAAGCAATCATCGCGAATCGTATGTCAACGGAGGACGGCCAGCGCGGATCCCGGTATTTATATTTGTGCGGCTGGCTGCTGCGGAGACGATGTATTTAGAGGGTGTGTTATTTTTGGCGAGCTATATTTGGATTCTGGTGTAGGATTGCAGTCTGGATAGCGCATAAATGAATATGACTTGAGCTTCAGAACATAAGGAACACTGTTGAAGAGGCTGAATTCGGTTGAACTCGGTTGAACTCGGCTAAATGCTATCGGGCGCCTAAATTAACTTAATAATAGGCAAGGCTGTGCCTGCGTCATTCCGCTGACCTACCCGCTCTCGGATTTCCCATTTCTCTTTCTCTTTCCCTTGTACGATGTTCAAGAACACGGCGACGAAGCTCGCGCACAACACGACGATCCCGGCGCTCTCGGGCAACAAGGACCTGCGCCCGCTCCAGGACCTCATCACCGCAGAGAAGACCGTCCTCGTCTCGTGCGTCCCCACTACCCCTCCGACATTCACTCACTCCTTCATTCATTCGTCGTATTGGGCGGGCAGGCTGCAGAAGCTGAGCGTGGACTTCGCCCAGGCGGGCGAAGCGCTGCGCGTGTGGGGCGCGGCCTAGACCGGTGACCGTCTGTCTATGAAACTGTCGATAGTATCACTTTTGATACGACAGGCTGGTTTCGAGCCTAGGCGCGGCCGAGGGCGAGGATCTCGGTGTGCATCCGACTTGCTACTCTCTCTGCTCATGATACCAACATTTCTCTCATGGTAGGACTTGCTGGGCGCCTCGACGACGGTCCTCACGCACTGGTCTGCCGCGCTGTCGGGGTACGCGGCGCGCGAGCATGGCATTCGCGATGTGAGTGCTCGATTTGTTTGCTTTCGATTCCATTCTCGTTTCTCTGCGTATCGTCGGTGCGCTTCGCTGCCCTTCGAACATGCGGCGACGGCCCCCGTCGACGGCACGCCCCGTGATATCACCCGTCCATGTCTGTGTCTGTGTCTATCACGCACATCACTCGGGCTGCCAACGGCCCTGCCAGGACACGCATCGCTGCGCCACTTGGCGGGCATGCGGCGGGAGGGGCTCGCCGCTCGCCCACACGGATATTTCCTGCCTGGAAATGCGAGGCGAGCGCCCCGAGTGGTCGTCTGACCTCAGTTTTCGGTCCTCGAGACCTGCGAGTGACGATGTCTGTGCTACTGGCTCATGTGCGACGGCGTACGCTCCCCTCGTCTGTCTCGGCGTCTGTGTCTGGGTCTGGGTCTGGGTCTGGGCCGGGTCTCTGCACCGTGTCGATGCGCCGGCGCGGTCCACGCATACCCAATCCCCATTCTCATTTCCCATTTCCTGTTTCCCTGGGTGCATTCCCCTACCAACGGCTTAGCGCGCGTACCTACGTGATGCAGGTCGCTGGGTAGCAGGTAGCGGGTAGCGGGACCGGCGCCTTTGTGGGTCCGCGGTCCGTCTTGCGTGCGATGGTGGGTGCGGGAGGCGGGCGAAGGAGTCATGTGCCTCCGGAGCGACGAGCACGTGCTGTGTTTCCGTGTATGCCACCCCACCTGGCGGGCGTGCGGGCGCGGAGATCATCTGGGCTCGGAGTGCAGTCCTCCAGGTGTGGGGCTCCGCGCCCGGGCTGTGTGGCAATCCCGCACGACATACGCTGCTCTTGCCTGCCTCAGTGTCTGCGTGTGCGGCTGTGCCGGTGTGCATGTCTGTGCTGGCCGTCTTCCATTCGGTCTGCCGAGGTCGATGTATCTATGCCTATGGCGGCGGCGGCGCCGGAGGTTGGGGCCTGCTGTACCCATGTGGATGTGCCTGCGTGTGGGCGTGCTGTCGCCGCTCACATATTTTTTTGTCCCATCGTCGCTAGAAAAATGCCGGGATTATCCGACACCATGAAATTGAACACATTACCACGGTGGATCCTGGCGCAATGGGAGAACACACGAGGAATGAGATTGGTCCCACACGCATCTTGATTAAGACGAATGTTATCCACGAAAAGTAGTCACCGCCGTCATGTGGTACACTGGTTAGCCCACAAATATGGATTTCGCTCGAAGACTGTCGGTATTTATTGAGGTGTTTGGAAACGGGGTGGGAAGCCACGACAGTTTCCACCGCGACCGCCGAGACTACAGCACCCCAGCTAATTTCCTTGCGCATACGAACCAATAATCCGCCCATCGCATGGGCATTTTGAGTATTTTTGTGCATTGCACCTCGCGGAAGTGGCTTCGTGTCCCAGTCGCATGCGAGTTCTTTGGAAGCAGAAGATCCGTACCAGTCCCGCGCGATATCGCTGGGTTTTTATTTATTTATTCTTGCTGTTACAATATGTTCTCTTGTCAACTTGAGCATTCCGGCCAGAATCACCTTCTCCGTGGGCATCGAATAGTAGAACAGCCATCAGGACAGCGCAATACAATAGCCATCAACGCCCTTTTCAACCACACGCACGTGACCCGTGGTTGGATTCCACTATTCGCTTCCTTATCCCCACTGCTCGTGGTTGGGTATGGATTGGTAAAAGTGGTATTTTGTCGTTTTCATAAGATTTGGTGCTGTGTTGAAATTACATGGAACATGTACCAGGGAGGTACAGCTGAGGCTGGCCTGAGGTGTGATTTTGCCGGCGGGGAGAGGAGGGGAGATGACTGGCAATAGGGGAAGCCAGAGTAGAAGAAAATGGGCGGATTATGGGTTTGGATTATGGAGGGATTCTCGATTTATTAAAGCGTAGGATAATCACGTTAATCCATAATCCTCCATAATCTCATAATCTCCTCCGGAGGAGATTCTGCAAGGATTATGATTATGGCTGTGATTATGGAGGACTATGGCCTTCATGGGTTAACCACATCTGGATAATCTTGGCACCATAATCCCGAACATTTGGGGCGGTCAGAATTGAGTGTGATTATGCGAGGATTCTGCGTGATTATGGCTTTTATTTAAATCCATAATCACACCATAATCCTTCCTTTAATCTCTCCAACTTGAAGTCAGTAAATGCTACATATTTCGTCCGGAAACCCTGAATCACCTTCCCGTGAGCTATTCAAACACTATCCAGATCTGTGCACGGCCACCGTGGCAAATTATAAGCGGCAACACTGGTGGAGCCATGAACACTTGCCGCAGTAACCGCAAGATAGAAGGTGGAGACACCGGCTCTCCGGGCTCTCAGTAATAACATATTGTGTTTTTGTGTTGCACCCATACTCACGTGATCTGCGGTTGGACTCCTTCCGAGTCCGAGCTCGCGACTAGTGGCATGCATAATAATGGTAAATTTAATGTCGGGCCTTTTTCGACCCTCAGATTCAAGGGACGCACTATTATTGTCTTTGAACTTAAGCAGCAGGAATTGGACATGCTGTAACTGAGAGTGGGATTAACTCTTTTGTCTTCTGTGGGGAGCAAAAGTTGAAGCTGAACGCAAAAGTTGCAAAACTGCTACAAAAATGCTAGGTATCGAGGCTATGAAGGGTGCAACTTGGAAGGCTCGGTGGTGGATGGTCCATATCTGCATTTGATAAGCGAGAATCTGGCGGATCAAGCAGAGGAGCCTTGCAATGTGGCATTGTTTTCTGTGCCGTTTTTGTGCCGAGCCTCACAAATATGCTAGGTTATTGAGGGTAGGAAGAGGGAAGGAATGCTCGGTGGTGGGTGGTCCACATCTGTCCTCCTTGATGTTTGTCTCTGGGTGCAGGCAGAAGTCGCCCGTTCGATTCGGGCCCGAGTCGTGAATGTTGGTGCACCGTCTTTTTCTTCTCTTGCTTTTTGCAAAGAGTGAGGCTCACAACAGTGCTAGGTTATTATGGATAGGCGTAGGGCAAGCAAAACTTGGTGGTGGGTGGTCCACATCTGCATTCTATAGTGTATCTGCATAAGTTTCCAGCAGAGCAGCCCGTTCGATTCGGAGCTGAGCCATACGATAGGTTGAACTGTCTTTTTATGCATGCTACCTGACACAATAATTCAGGGTTATTGAGAGTGGAACGAGAGTAAGGAAGGCTCGGTGGTGGGTGGTCCACATCTGCACATTCTATCGTAGAAATTGATTTATGCAGGCAGAGGAGCCCGTTCGATTCGGGACTGAGCCGTAGAT